GTGCTACAAAGCGCCCAAGTAAAGGAACGTGATGCTCCTAAGAGCAGAGGAGGACAAAACTTAAGTTCAACGAACAGAGATGAAGGTTATCGAGGGTTTCTCTGGTGGGGGGGGGGGGTGAGTTAGATCCTTAAAAAAAGAGCAATAAGAAATATTCCCCATCGTTAAAAGACCCCGTGGGAAGCAGCATTCTAAGAATATAGACGGAGAAGCAGTAAAGGACAAGAACAGCACTGTGCAGATTTGAGGTTTGTATTGCAGTCTCGGCCAAAAGACGTCAGCTGAATTTTTGTCTTCCATGTTTTATTCCCTTGTAAATAAATATGACGTCGGTAAGACATCTAAGTATGCGCGTTATTCTCGAAAAAAAAAAAGCCTAATGCGACAAGCCTGAAATAATAAGTACATATGAGGTTTAGAGTACCTGATTCATCAGAGAGAAAAACGCAGCCAATAAACAATCAACATAAATCATATAATCGCACAACGCAAAACCGTACGCAAGAAGACACTGTGCACCAACTATGTACAGACAAATTTTTAAAAAAAGATACTTTCTCGTTGAGAAAATCTGAAGGGAGGTTTGGGCAAAGTCGTTTTCTGAAAATGAGTTTGCTTTGTATGTACGTATGTAGGTTCAACTTATTTTGCACCGTAGGTAGCCAAAAAAAATCGGGGTTTTTTTTTGGTCAGACTAAACCTACAGCTCGCATCCTCGTAAACCACACTTGGAGCTATAAATTATGACGACTTGCATTTAGAATCCGCTGGCTTGCGTGCTAATCTAGTGCTCATTAATTCGTGAACTGGTACTAGAAGTTCGAACCGAGACATCGGAACCCATGATACTGACACACAAAACAATCTTACAAGCTGTATTTGGAGAAGCAAAAGGGAATGTGGAATTTCCACCTCTGGCTTAAGGGGCCGCAAACAGAGATGAACACCACTCCATACACAAAGACAAAGGTCTCCCAAATACCTTCAACAAAACTCTTGGAAGTGCTGTTAGCGAGCACCTATGAAGGCCGGCACAGGACACGAGGGGTGTGGGTGACCAGCACCACGCCTGTTGTCTCCCCAGTGGCGAAGATTTTACACACCGCACCAGGTACTCATTTGAGGCTGAGTCAACCTAGGAAAGGTCCAGTACCCGTTCAGATAATCATCACTGGTCTTGGCCGTTTTGAGCGTTGCTTTTCTTTTAAAGAAATCGGTGTGATTACGGAATACTTGAAGTTTGAGAACGTAGTCCCGTATTTGGAATTATGAATAACGTGATCTGATTACTTTATTACTTTTCTTCACCATAGCATCTGTACATTCATGTATTAGTTTAGCATTACCTCAGCTGACCAAATATTGCCTATGACCAAATCACTCGGTGCGCCTGATCTCGTCGGACTCTCGGAAGCTCAGCAGCCACCATGCACTGCAGGTCGCTGTAGGCTGTGGGGGCTACGTGGTGAGCAGAAGACGACAGTGCAGAACAATCCATTGTTGCACCGTACTTCTGTACTCCGCACATTGAACAACCCGCAATCAACAGTGTCAAGTATCATCAAATCACACTCACGATCCGCGATGAAGCCTCCATCCAGCAGTGGATTGCCAAAGGGCTGTACATACGCCATACCGGCACTAAAATTGTTACAGGCCGTGGATCTCGTGATCTGCCATGCTGTGCGCTCTGCACACCCCCATGTTGCTGATACAATAATTTCACCCCATCGAATAATTTTGGTATATAAAAAAAAACATTTTAAAAAGGAACAGTAACCATAATAGTAAAAAAAAAGAGTAATCGAGCAGGGCATGCTTTGTGACCGTAACCTGATTACACACCGAGAGCAGAGTGATAATAAGGTATTAGCAGACCTCACCTTTAGCTATTTGGTTACCGTGACACGCTCAAGCAATCGGGCCAGCTGTTCTTTCCAAGGGCACATGCTCGTAGGGGCTAAAACAGGCCCGAGTCATGACACGTTTGTGAGAACGGAACAGAAAGTTGCACTGCCTAGCGTCACGGTGGGTGGCGGGGGGGGGTATTAATCTAACCGTGACGCACAGCTAAGACTGCTGCCCGCCAGAAAGGCACAGCGGTCGGTACAGCCTGCAAATACGTGACGCTCCAAAGGACATCATTTTCCCCACAGTCTCATCACTGATGGCTCAGGCGTAGGTAGGGGGGAGGTTTTGAAAACTGCCTTTCTCGACCTCCATGCTCGTGTCAGCTTGGATAGCTGGTGGCGAAATAAGATGGTCAGCTTGCGATGTCCATTAACAAGTCACTTATTGCAGTAGGCTGGCTTCTCATCTGTATGAATGTTGAACTTCTTTCGTACCGTACAGAGCCAGCCGTGGTAATCGGAGATTGCAAACACACTGTGGGCTGTGTTTAGCTCATGGTTGACCCCAAGCCGCATCCACTGCACAAACAAATGGCAGATGCAGATACCTGATGCCCAAATAGAAAATGTAAAACTCTTCAATGTGCGACTGTGGTCATCCAGAGCAGACTGTGGTCTTCCAGAACACATAATGACGCGATGCCGGATCCACAAATATTGAGGAATCACAGTGGTACACTCTGCTGCTCTTTGAATGACACACGGGAGGTGCAACAACCTCCTCCATAAGTGGGCAAGGAGCTGACTATTCATGACTGTGGTGAAGTGCAATCCATGACTCACACTGATTTTTTAGGATGAATCCATCTGGTGACCCCCCAGACGCCATTGAACGGCTTTCTAAACTCAACACAGTCATACACTCGGACCATTGAATTTCAAATGTCGCGTGGAAGAAATACTTAGCTGATCAGCTGGTGTTACTTTACAATGGGGTTAAGCCCATCGCTCGGGATAGAAAAACTGCTAAAACATGCTGTGGCCTAGCCTCAGATCGATTGATCGTAGGGTTAAGACCAGGCCAAGAGGAGGCCATAAATCACAACATTAAGCCTGTTCTTTGGTTCTTTCGGTAAAGTCACGTAGAATGAGAATAAAATAATAAAATAAAACAATAAAATTCTCACGACGTTTCGGCCACAACACAAGTAGCCGTCCTCAGGTGAAGAAACAGGACTGTCCAGAAGACAGCGCTTGAGTGCTGTTTCTTCACCTGAGGACGGCTACTTGTATTGTGGCCGAAACGTCGTGAGAATTTTATTGTTTTATTTTATTATTTTATTCTCATTCTACGTGACTTTACCGAAAGAACCAAAGAAGATTAATCCTTGCAGTCACGAAAGCTTGAAATCGAAAATGAAGCCTGTTGTTAAGCCGTAAGTTGTTTGGTGAATTAGCTCAAGGTAAGTCAGTGCCGCCATTGCTCCAATCGGGCATGGAGTAGTGCTCATCTTGATTGGCTGCAACAAGCCAGTGCTGGAAATTCCACACTCCCGTGGCAAGAGCCAGTTTCGGCATAGGGCAAAGCTCAAATCACAAATAATCACCACCCAATCCTCTCCCATTTTATGACTGCCGCTCGTATGCAAGCACCACTGACGCAGTCGCTTATATTTAATCTTATATGACACTGTATTGACCGCAGAGAGACAATGAGCTAGATCGACCCCTCTACCAGAACTTGAGCTTGCAACCTGCTCTAAAATGACATCCACTACTTAGATGATGTCAACATTGAAATTGTGTTACGTGTTATATTCACGCAAATATTTCTGAGGACTTGAGGATGGTATGGTTCAAAGATGAAACACCTCTGAAGGATAATGGTACAGTCTAACGTCCAACCAGCATTCACCTGTGCAGGCGACTGGTATGCAGACATACCATTTTGTTAACGGGCATCTGACTTTTTCAGTCACTAGATTGGTTCGGAACTGACAGCTAAGGTAACATGAAACTAAGGCTACAGGGGCAAGCTGTGCTTGTGACCGTTGCACAATATTTTTTTTCAAAAAGAGGCAGCACTGGCATAAAAATTCTCAGTCGCAATGTTATTTAAGTCGATCGAAATCAAAGTATTATGAAACACCTAAAATAAAGTTATGAAACTTTTAAAATAATGTCCTTGATCAAAATTGAAATCGTTTGAGATGTTGATAAGAGCCTCTACTACCAATAAATGTATACTGTTGTTCTCTATGATAAAGGAAAAGCAGTTGTATACATTTAACCACAAGAGGGCCTGCTGATATCCACTTCCTCTCGAGAAAGAAACCTGGGTTCCCATAGTGATTTCAGCAAAGAGTTATTCGGTGTTACATTTCACTTTTGCGGGCGATGCTTCAGATTTGTAACCTTTCAATTCCCACTCGTGAGAGTGACATTTAAGGGGTCTTTAATGTCCACTTCACCATGAAGGCCATATGCATGCTTTGGTAATTACCCTCAGTATTCCCGGCTGGCTGCAGTAGGAATCGAACCAGATACTCGGGTGCTATCGAGTCAACGATAAACGCTTCAACCACTCAGCTACATTCAAGGTCAAGAGGTCATCGGCGCCATCGTCACTAATGCCGCAGACCCTGCAGCTGTTGCTCGGTTGACACAAAGTGTTCCTCGGGTCCCAGAGTCTAGTTTTGGATCATTTAGGCTTTAAGTACTTTAAGAAGAAGCCAGATTTGAAAACGTTAAATAACACTGGACTACTGAACTGGAACATTAAAACGTGTTAAAATTCAACTGCAATAAAGCTGTGACTCGAAGAGCATGCTCAATGTATGTTGGAAATGTTAAATGTCTTGTAAACAGTTGGTCATCTGTGACAAAGATGAGTTAAAATCAAATAATCGTTCAAACTCAAAACATTCTCGACAAAGAAAAGAACCTGCCTTGCTTTCACCAAATCATAGGTTGAAAGGACAAATGCAAAGCAACATTACCCACGACTCATTGCCCATCTGAACTCTGCATATATTATCCAAAACATTCTCTGACCACAATTACTCGTCTAAAAAGAGATAGTTCCGCTGAAAAATAGTGTTTATTTTATCCCCCGTGAGACAAAAATAAAGCTACACGAGACCATTTGTATTTTTTTTTAGCTGCACGGCAGCTGAAAGATGCAATTGTTTTTTGTTTTCCTCCTTGGGATATCTCAAATGTCACGTACGCCTTCGCTAACAGGAACATTACTAAGCGTACATCATGTCCATTCATCTACATGTTCCCGTAGGTTGCTAAATATGCACCTAGAGGCGTTCAAGTGTTGCTTCGTCTCCTTTTATATAAAAAACAATCAAGCTTGCGTTTGTGTACATGTGTACTTGGATTATGTAAATGCAAACACCCAGTGCAGTAAACCAGCTCTCCTTACACACAAAGGTTAAAGTTAACTCGCGTGTGGGTCACATTGCGAGGGCCGGTCTAGCCATAGGATGGCCATTATTGACTTCCCACAGACGTTTCATTGACCCTGAAGAGATTATGGGCTGAGTCGACCGGCAACCAGAATGTTAACGCGTGATCTTCTGATTGTGAATTGAGTGCTCCAACCACAGCGCTGCCCGGTCTGACTATCAAGCAGCAGGACGGCGCTGACAAAGCACCTTGAGACTTGGTGAGGTTTTCAGAGATAAACAATCGTTGTGTGTCCGAACCTGGCAGTGCATGAGTGTGTTTGCATTTGTTTGTTAATGTGCGATAATCCTAGTGACCTGGATCCAATTCCTGGTCATGCACAACTTTAGTGGCAACTGAACTTGTCTTGGCCTCCACTCAGTTGACCCAATCTGTAAACATCAGCACTGCAGAGATAAATGCGGCCTGGCGTGGCGCTGACCATCCCTTTATGCTCCGTGTTAGCTTTAATAGGTGCTCAATAACGGCAATTACCCCAACAGTCTGTTAAGACTGCACAGGGATCTGTGTCATCCTCTTTTGTTTGTCTGGGTTCATCTGTGTGCATATTTGTGTACTCTATTATGTATGTGCATTTATACGCTTGTGTGTACGCGCGAGTGTGCACGTGAGTGAGTGGGTGCCTCTGTGTCCATACGGGTATTGCGTGCACGCACGTGTGCACGGTACATCTGTCCCTTGCACTCCGCTAATTGTCACAAACTTTCGATTTCCCTCCTCACCCACTCGCCGCAGGAATCTGCTTCGATGCCACCGTCGGCAATGTCCCGTCCGGCGTCGACCTCAGTTCGATGGGCGCCCGATGAAACCTGGACACCAACCTTCGCACCTGCTGCTGCTGTCGTTCGTGTTGCTGTCCCTGGCGTTGCTGTTCGCCCTTTCCTGGAATCCCACCCGCCTCTGCCGCAGCAGCCGCAGCAGCCGCGGCTGCAGCTGGATCGTCCTCTCCGGCGAGCGGGGCCGGGCTGTCGAGTCGTGCACGCACGGCGTGGAAAGCGTAGTAGACCAGCGGCATGGCCACCCCCACGAGCAGCATCACGGCCACCGCGCTCCACCAGCGGATTCCACAGTCGGCACCGTCGCACGAATCCTTCCGTCGGCGGTGATGCGAGGAGCCTTCGAGCTGCTGCTGCTGCTGCTGATGATTATCCTGACGAAACTCTAGCTGGTGCAAGTGCTGCCGAGGACCCAACGGGTGAAAGCGCTTCTCGGTGAGCGCTTGCGTAACCTCCTCGAGCGAGGCCTTCGAGACGTCGGTTCGGCGCGCGATGTTCGCGATGTCGCGATCCATGACGCGCAGGAATGCCACCGCGGCCGCCGTCGCCGCCACCTCCGCTGGTGACGCCATCGGTGACGGCGGCGCCGGTACAGCCGCAAGCCGCGCTGTCGGCAAGCTGGAACCGCCGGTGGCTACAGAGGCACCGGCAGTGGCGGGCAAGGATGAGGTGGTTGATGATGATGAGGGTGGTGGTAGCGGTCTTCTCCTCGCCTCCTCGACAGCGTCGGTGAGCAGCCCGTGGCGTCGCACAGGGATGCGCACGGAGCGCAACGCATACATGCCCTGCTCGCTCATCAGGTTGTTGGCGCGCTTGATGTCAGACACCTCCATGGCGGAGGGGGGAGAGGAGCAAGAAGACCACACGGGGAGGGTGCGGGGGGGGACACAGGAGGGCGAGAGGCGCCCGTGAGTATTTTTTTTATTTTACCAGGTAAGGCACACTAAGCTATGTAGCTCTTTTTCAGAAGTGACCTTGCTATCATAAATTATAGCTCAACGGAGTTGCTTATCATGTGGACATTTAAAGCAGCCAAATACTCTAAAACCAGACGATAGGGAGAAAAATCCACGTGACCACAGGGAGAAAATGCAAACTCCAAATATACAGGTGTCAGGGGTCGGATTCGAAGCGACGACCTCCTGTATACCATACGAGGTAGTTAACATCTCACCATCGCGGCACGCCCATATGAAAAACTTTCATAAGTGTGTCGTACTGTAAAAGTGGTGCGGTGGCACAGTGGTTAGCCCACTGCACTATGAAGAAGGCAGCTAGAGTTCGATTCCTGGCCAAGGCTACCATCCTTGGCGAGATAAATCTAACATGTGCAAAGCGTTGAGTGTTATCCCGTCATACGCGGAGTTTTCTCTGGTCACTCCAGTATCCTTCCACATTTTCCTGGATAAATAAAGGGCGAATTACTGTTATTAGTGCTGTGCTTAGCAGGGTGACAAGTTCAAATCTCATTCAAGAGTTGACTCAGCACATTATCCCTAGCAGAACAATATTGTGACGAGTCAACAATAATTGTTCTCTGAAGAGAATGACAAGTACCACTGGAATGTGGAATGTTGACTGAGGGCTCAGGGCTCTAACCGAGTAGGAGACAATGGCTTTTCGTAATTGTGAAAATAAAACTAACGACAATATGTGCAGCCTTTTTTTTATCAATCCACTGCTGGGTAAAGGCAGCGCTTCCGGTAATGGCAGCGCTTCCAGTAATGGGTGTTGTCTGACCACAGTTAACCACACTGGACAGCACGGGGTTTTTTCAGGGAGGACCAAGACCGGTTAGACCAGGGAGTCGGCAATCTGCTTCTCCTGAGCCGCGTGCGACCCTTTACGGACTGCTTAGTGACGTAATGTGTGTTGTACGTATTCACGTGCATTGCGGCTCTTGAAATATCGAGTTTTGTACCGAATTCGAAAAAAATGCCGAACCCCTGGGTCGGACACAACATGCCACCGAATCAAACGTTGGGTCGCTAGTTTCACAACACAGTTAACTAACCACTGTAGCACAGTCTTTGGTTCTTTCTGTAAAGTCACGTAGGTACAAAATAAATCAAATCACGACGTTTCGGGCGCAACACAAGCGTCCATCATCAGGTGGGACAACCGCAGCAAGAAACACTTCAGAACCGTTTCTTGCTGTGGTTGTCCCACCTGATGACGGACGCTTGTGTTGCGCCCGAAACGTCGTGATTTAATTTATTTTATTTTCTATCTACGTGACTTTACCGAAAGAACCAAAGAGTATGGATCCCTGCAGTCACGAACACTTCAAATCTACACTGTACTACAGTTGCACCCTTAAGTTGATGCACATTCTACCAGTGAAGTCTTGATTTTAACAAAGCTACGCCTATCCCATTTCACAACGTTCCACCACAAGGCGTTGAGAAGACAACTCCTATGCAGTATGCGTGGTTCATTAAGTTAAGAGACGACCACATCTGCACGACAGATTAACAGTGCGCATAGTAACTTCTGTGTTAAAGGCGACATTAAGGGAATTTGGGAGGAGCGGAAGGTACAATTACACCCAGCTCAAATTAACTTTGCAGGCGTCACTTTTCATCGGAGAACATTTAGCTTTGTAAATTATATCAAAGAGCACAGTTTTATTCTAACCCTGACAATTATTTACCTTGAGCTGACAACTTAATGTGTACAACTACAGAGGGTTAATGATTAAACCTCCATGCAAACAAATGTCCCACTTTGGAAATATTGACACATGGGCAACCCAATTAAAATTTGGACCAATTTCTGCGAAAATTAACCAAGAGCTCGGGTTATCAATGTGTGATCACACCACAAGGCGGCATGTAGCAGACTCGTGAGATTTCAAAAGGCAGCCAGGACACCGTGCATCCTATTACAAGTAGCATAACTTGCAGTGTCCTTGAGGTCAAAGTAAAGGTCACAAGTCAGCGTTTATAAATTCCACAAAATTGATGCACTTGCTTATGGGATATGTGCGACCAACTCGTCTGTACCGTGCCCAGAAAATAATTTCACACGGCAGCCCCAAGGTTAAACCCTGAACTTTGATCAATTCAATAAAGTTAATGCCCACTGTGCCTTCCTCGTCTTGTTTCTGTAAGACCTACATGCATAATGCTTAACTACGGCAAACAACCTCACTGAAAATATTCAGTGCAGTCCATGCAGCTGTGTGTAATCATAAAGAATAATTTACTGCCGTTTTGTCAACTCATTGTCGGGTTTAGGCTTCCCTACACCGTGTTAGTCATGGGGATTGTTTGACCATACTTTACAATGCTGGTCATTGTGGCCTGGCCAAATGAAGAGAAGTCCAGAATCTTCAAAACTTGTCTCTGACAGGCCAGGTCACAGCCAAGGAGCTTTGAGTGTTATCGCCACATGTGGTGTGTGTGTGTGGGGTCCTCCCCCCCCATATTTCCCCCGATGTGCATCAATGCTCATTAATGGTATTGGCCAAATAACCCAATGCGGGACACTCCCGGAAAGAAAAAGTCACCATCAATGTTTGACGTGCCTGTTAATCAAACTCCTGACGCCAGGTTTGTGAGCGCAGCGCTCTAACCACTGCGCCACCACTCCATCACAGCAATCGCGTCCGTTAGCACTTGCAACCACTGGCCCATCCACTGCGCGGCAGCGCTCGAGTCCGCGACACGTCCGCCGTACGGGTCGAGCGGGACTCACTGAGCATCCATACTGCAGGGCAAACGTGACGAGCGAGTCGCCCTCCCGCACTTCGCGCTCCAGGAAAACGACGTCCGCGAGCGGCGGCGGCCGCTCGCCCGCCATCCTCGCGCCGTCGCGAGTGGCTCGCACCCGCAGCTCGATGGCGTCGGTGGCGCTGGTTTCCGTGGCGACAGCGGCGCCGGAGGTTTCCGCGGTGACGGCGGCGGTGACACCGGCATCGGCGGTGGCAGCGATGAGGGCCGTGGACTCGTCGTCCTCGTCCGATGAGAGCGTGCCGAGCGGTGGCGAGGAGGAGGAGGAAGCGACGTCGCGTCTGTCGCCTTTGCCAGTGCCACGGCCGCCGGAGAAGATGTACGAGTTGCTGGGGTCGTCGACGGGGTTGGGGAACGGAGCGACGGCACCGTAGAGGCGGCCGGGCATCGCGAACGATCGCACAGAGGCCCTGGCGACAGCACGGGTGGGCAGGGAAGAGAACGCGGGCGAGATGACGCAGTGGGTAAGGCTGGGAAAGCTACGGCCCATTGAGCCTGACAAGTGATCACATTTGGCCTAGAAGTTTGAAACAGCCCACAAACATTTTTTATCCATCACTACCAGCATCTCAGCAACACTAAAAGGGTGCTAGAAGGGGAATGTTTGACTTGGAAACATTCAGTGCACTGCGTGACGTCTGTCACTGCGTAATGTACGGACCGCAAAATATGTTTGAAAATTCTATTCAGCCCTCAGCGACGGAAAAGATTCCCCACCCCTGCAGAATGCATGAGACGCTTAACGATTCACCCCATCCAAAGTGACTCGATGAACTGAAGGGTGTTCTCCCACACATGCACACCAGTAGCACAGTGGATAGAGAGCTTCACTCGCAAATCAGGTCATGAGGTCAATTCCTAGTAGGACTCTACTTAGCCCATCATCCCGCCAGGGTGCGTAAAATAATTATCACTGGTTTTTTTAGATAGACTGTCCCCTGCCAGATAAGTGTGAATTTCTACTCAAGGTCAGATGAGAGCACCACCCCAATGTTTGTTATTAATATACACAAGATAATCACCACAATTCCTCTGGAGTTGACAAAATAGGTAGAAAACAAAATAGGTAGTATTACTCTGGGAAGTCAACGACACTTGCCTTAAGAATAGGGAATTCCCCCGCCATATAGATCTCCACCAATGGTTAAGGGCCATTCATGGAGATGAGCAGCACCCCACATTCATCTCTACAGTGAGGGAAAAAAGTATTTGATCCCCTGCTGATTTCGTACGTTTGCCCACTGACAAAGAAATGATCAGTCTAGAATTTTAATGGTAGGTTTATTTGAACAGTGAGAGAGAGAATAACAACAACAAAATCCAGAAAAACGCATGTCAAAAATGTTATAAATTGATTTGCATTTTAATGAGGGAAATAAGTATTTGACCCCCTCTCAATCAGACAGATTTCTGGCTCCCAGGTGTCTTTTATACAGGTAACGAGCTGAGATTAGGAGCACACTCTTAAAGGGAGTGCTCCTAATCTCAGCCTGTTACCTGTATAAAAGGCACCTGTCCACAGAAGCAATCAATCAATCAGATTCCAAACTCTCCACTATGGCCAAGACCAAAGAGCTCTCCAAGGATGTTGGGGACAAGATTGTAGACCTACACAAGGCTGGAATGGGCTACAAGACCATTGCCAAGCAGCTTGGTGAGAAGGTGACAACAGTTCGTGCGATTATTTGCAAATGGAAGAAACACAAAAGAACTGTCAATCTCCCTCGGCCTGGGGCTCCATGCCAGATCTCACCTCGTGGAGTTGCAATGATCATGAGAACGGTGAGTAATCAGCCCAGAACTACACGGGACGATCTTGTCAATGATCTCAAGGCAGCTGGGACCATAGTCACCAAGAAAACAATTGGTAACACACTACGCCGTGAAGGACTAAAATCCTGCAGCACCCGCAAGGTCCCCCTGCTCAAGAAAGCACATATACATGCCCGTCTGAAGTTTGCCAATGAACATCTGAATGATTCAGAGGACAACTGGGTGAAAGTGTTGTGGTCAGATGAGACCAAAATGGAGCTCTTTGGCATCAACTCAACTCGCCGTCTTTGGAGGAGGAGGAATGGTGCCTATGACCCCAAGAACACCATCCCCACCGTCAAACATGGAGGTGGAAACATTATGCTTTGGGGGTGTTTTTCTGCTAAGGGGACAGGACAACTTCACCGCATCAAAGGGACGATGGATGGGGCCCATGTACCGTCAAATCTTGGGTGAGAACCTCCTTCCCTCAGCCAGGGCATTGAAAATGGGTCGTGGATGGGTATTCCAGCATGACAATGACCCAAAACACACGGCCAAGGCAACAAAGGAGTGGCTCAAGAAGAAGCACATTAAGGTCCTGGAGTGGCCTAGCCAGTCTCCAGACCTTAATCCCATAGAAAATCTGTGGAGGGAGCTGAAGGTTCGAGTTGCCAAACGTCAGCCTCGAAACCTTAATGACTTGGAGAAGATCTACAAAGAGGAGTGGGACAAAATCCCTCCTGAGATGTGTGCAAACCTGGTGGCCAACTACAAGAAACGTTTGAACTCTGTGATTGCCAACAAGGGTTTTGCCACCAAGTACTAAGTCATGCTTTGCAGAGGGGTCAAATACTTATTTACCTCATTAAAATGCAAATCAATTTATAACATTTTTGACATGCGTTTTTCCGGATTTTGTTGTTGTTATTCTGTCTCTCACTGTTCAAATAAACCTACCATTAAAATTATAGACTGATCATTTCTTTGTCAGTGGGCAAACGTACAAAATCAGCAGGGGATCAAATACTTTTTTTCCCTCACTGTAAATGCAGACAATATGACGTGACATGTATAATACTAGCCTTTTGCCCATCCAAGTACAGGCGTATTGCAGTAAATCTGAAGCTTGCAAACGAAAAGCAGACTTCGACGTGATATTCATTGCATTGAGTGTGCAATTTGTAAGGCCGTGGTGACACAGACCTATTTTATTTTAATGTTATAATCCCTTGTCCATCATGACGTCCTTTTTACTTTGATGTCTCAGTAGCGTTACGGAGATCGCGTGACGTGAAAGTTCTGCCTTTGTAGTGAGGGTTGTAAATTGACGACGAGGAGGGGGGAGGAGGCACCTCGGCCCCCCATGTGGAGTGACGTCACCCGCTAATTATTATGAACGGGGGGGGGGGGGGGGGCATTTGGAGGACGTTACCTTATAATGATTATTAATGAGGGGGCTAATACAGTTACATGCTAATTTCTCACATAAACATCACTAGCCCCGGCCACTTCTTTATGACCCTTGGGCTACGCCCATTTCAAACCTTTTAAAACAGTCTGCCTCAGCAGCAGACCATCGCTTTCCCACCTGACGACGGACGCTTGTGTTGCACCCGAAACGTCGTGATTTATTTTATACCTATGTGACTTTACCGAAAGAACCAAAGAGTAATGAAGGGGCTGTTCGATGTGGAGTAACGTCACCTGTTCATGATTCATAATGAGGGGAGCTGTTCGATGTGGAGTGACTTCACGAGCATTAAGGCAGACATTCCTGGGTGATTATAGTAGGTACATACTAGAGTAATGCAACTGCACGATTTCAGGATTGTTATGACCAAAACACCCAGAATGTGCCAAATATCATCAGATCTAATAAGCTCATCAGGTGTGGGCCTGGATATTGCTCGGATGGGTGACCACCACGCATATCAGGTGTTATAGGTTGTAGGGCATCGTGGTGGGTAGCAGAGGGCAGTTCAGCAAAATCCACTGTTATACAATACTTCTGTTCTCCCGCGCGTCTATACTAATACAACTGAATGTTTTGACTGTGAAAATTAGAGGTACAAGAAGTCAGGCAAGACAGTTCATTAAACTACGTAAGCAATTTGAACAAATGGATACAACTAATGAAGTATCTAATGCAACAATCTTGATGTAAATATCATGGACAGCGCTAAAGAGGAAGCCCATAATCCCCAACGCCTTTGAGACAGCACTTGTCACGTAGTAAGAAGAAACTACTACTCCAAGGCTGTGGAAGTGGACTGTAATATTCCAATACACACGTGTCTACTACAGCTGACAGAATGTGTCTATGTGGCATTCGTCAAACTGTCACACACCTTAAACATGGCTGCAACATTTAGTCTCACCAAATTCTAACTACAGCACTATATGTCAAGGCCATAATTGTAATATATATTGGGGGGGGGGGGGGACACATCCCCCCCCCCCCAATATTCAAATATGCTCAAAATGTCCCCCCCAATATATTGCTATAAACATTTTTTTTAAATGCTATGCTATGTAAATAAAAACAACAATTTGCTAAACCTTGGCCACAAGATCTGGACTTTTCTCATATCACAATGCATAGATTTCTGTTTATATGATTGTGGTTATGGTTGTACTTTATTAATCCCTAATCTCTGCCATTACATATAATGAAACAAGAAAATGTAAAAAAAAACAGAGCAATGTAAATACAACACACTATTAGACATTATTGTAAAAAATAAATAAAAAGTCCATCCCATGTGTTAGTGAATTTTTAAAATATTTTAGGCAGGAAATTAGTTTTCAAATTTAGATTTTTTTTTTCCTGGGGGGGGGGGGGACCCCTAGACCTCCTGGAAGATTTGGTCCCCCCCCTCCCCCCAATGTTGACTCCATGGCTACGACCTTGCTCTATGTATTTTAAATATATACAGTAAGAGACATTTTATTAATCCATTGCTGGGGCGTGATTTGACCATACTTCACCACGCTAGTCTGTGTGGCTTGCTGAAGAAGGGTAGCGCAGACGTGGCAGCATAGCAACATTGTACTCTACAAATGGGATTTTTGCCCCCACTGCTCTCTGCAACTCAACAACGTTGCACAAGACTCCGCAGCCGCCTGGCATGCGAGGTGGTCACCCATCCAAGCGCTGGCCAGGTTCATCCACGCTTGGCTTCCTCCACATCTGGCGAGATCGCGCGACTCACAGGGTAAACGTGTTACCCCCCCCCCCCCCACGGTCACACGGTACTGTATTTTCACACTGCAATTATTTGTGAACGACTGGCACACCCGTGAATACAGGCACCAGCGGCGGCTTTCATACACGCACACGTAACCTATTCTGTCGAGTGAATTCACAAAATAATTATTTTTTAACGCCATCGTCAAGACAACGTTTTTCTAAATTAGAGTCACTTCAGACGACAAAACCAACCCGCCGAGCCGTATGCCCCAATGGACCACTCTAACGCGTCCCTGTCAACCCATTATTGTTGCCTAGCTTATTACAGATCAATTCTGAACTTATTGGTCATCCCGTGGTCCTTATAAATCTCAACGTTCATCCTACAAAGTCCCATCACAAGGGAGAAACACAAATAGACAATCACCACTACACTCACCGCTACACTCACCACTACATGCCTGTCAACCCCTGATCAGTGCCCTATCTTATTACGGACCAATTCAGATCATATTGGTCACCCGGAGTCCTATTCTAAATCTCAACGTTCATCCTACAAAGTCCCATCACAAGGGAGAAACACACAAATAGACAATCACTACGAGTACACTCACCACCACACTCACCACTACATGCCTGACAATCCCTGATCAGTGCCCTACCTTGTTACAGACCAATTCTGAACTTATTGGCCACCCCGTGTCCTTATAAATCTCAACGTTCATCCTAAAAAGTCCCATCACAAGGGAGAAACACACAAATAGACAATCACTACTGGTACACTCACCACTACATGCCTGACAACCCCTGATCAGTGCCCTACCTTGTTACAGACCAATTCTGATCTTATTGGCCACCCCGTGTCCTTATAAATCTCAACGTTCATCCTACAAAGTCCCATCACAAGGGAGAAACACACAAATAGACAATCACTACTAGTACACTCACCACTACTCACCACTACATGCCTGACAACCCCTGAACAGTGCCCTACCTTGTTACAGACCAATTCTGAACTTATTGGCCACCCCGTGTCCTTATAAATCTCAACGTTCATCCTACGAAGTCCCATCACAAGGTATAAACACAAACAAATAGACAAAATTATGTTACTAAAGCATGTTTTTACCCGTATTAAAACGGCTGTACCCCGTATGGACCTTAAAACTCAATAACTCTGTACAAGAATACAGGGTAAACCGTACGGGTTGACAGCTATGATGCATCAAAAGTAACTTTACCCGTCGTTTTGTTACCTTGTTTAACCAAAGGCTTCAACTCGCGTGGAACAGCCCGAAACCCAAAGCATGAGGACAAACACAAAGATAGGTAATATTACGGGAGAAAAAAACCCTACATATTTACCAACACTGCCCTTAAAAGTAAATACTGTAGTGCATAATCGGGCAATGGCCCTTTTTCATAACACCTCTGTTACTTACGATTGTATTTCGGCCTCTCTTCTTACGACTGGTGCCTGTGTATCACTGTCAAAACAGTTCCACAAAGCATGTTTAATTGTTTGTTTCTTGGAACAGACTAGGCCCGAGACGCCGGGGAGGGCCGGAATGGCCTGGATTGCCTACCGAGGAGGAAGCGCCTTCCCAGGCGGGGAGCAACCACAGCCTGCGGTGTCACCACACGGGGTCACACAACACCGGATTTTTTTTGTCAAAATGTTAAACCAAAACACACACTTACCGGTTCGCGCGAGTTAAATCCTGCTCAGAGTTTTAAGGGCGAGAGGAATTGTTCATGCAAGTTTCGGGGGGGAGCCGTTATGTTCCGAAAAGTCTCGACGTGTCCTGTAGCCGGGCTTGAGACGTCAGCCATTTGCACTTGGGAGTTACCACTCCCCGCAAAGGGTTGATGCTCAAACCAGCAATTTACTACTTTGATTTCAATCACATAATTTTAATCATATTTACTCAAACAGTATATTTATATCAGATTACTATCAAATATATCTGATATTCACGGTCGCTCTGGCATTGTATTGCTGTTTGAGTTGTAAATATCGCGTCTGCTGCGACCCCCCCTATTAAAAGCGGTAAGTTGGTTCGTTCCAAATGATGACGTCCACACAATGCAAACGCAATCAAAGTCTTCCGGAAGACCCTTCCAAAGTTGGGGAAGCTCTTCCAGAATTGTACAATTCAGTTAGTCCCCGACTTACGATGGTCCGACTTACGACATTTCGATCTTACGATAGCGATATGACAAAATTGAAAATGTTTATCATACTGTAACTTTATCATCGCCATCCTCCTCTTCCGACAACTAAGTTAATGTGGCCATCAACAACCTTAACATCGTTCAAAGTATGCAGACGACGGACAGAATCTTGGTGAGCACAGTAGAATATGATACGTTACGTTACGTTGAATGCATGTATGATACGTAGCTTTAGCGATTTCATTTTAGGGTTAGCACGATACGATACGTTCAATGCATGTTAAAAGATTTTTTATATATATAGCAGATAGGATTGTTTCCTGAAAAAACTTTCTATGAAATTGCAGTTCATATAGGTAGGCTAAGAATTTCCCTTGTTTTTTACTTTAAATTGTACTGTGCAATGCAGTATTGTAATTAATAAATACATACAGTATATAGTTTATACAGTACGGTACCGTAAATTGCTCTGTTTTGCTAAATTATCACTATTCTTTAAGACTCCTGGGTAGGGCTAGGCCATTTTCGACTTACGATATTTTCGACTTACGATATTTTCGACTTACGATTGGATCGTCGTAACGCATCTCCGTCGTAAGTCGGGGACTACCTGTATTTTTTAAGTGTTTTTAACTCCGAAAGTTATCGCGATATGGCGATACTACGATATTTCGTACGATATAATATCCACCATAATCGTATAGTCCATTTTTTTGCCATTGACATATAATCATATCGTAGTTACCGTTGCTAATCTTTATATTTCTCAAATATTCCGTTTCATGCCCAAAGAACATTCATGAAATAGTTCACGATAATATTTAAAGGTACTAAAACATGTTTTTTAAATTGCTGTCACCCACAAAATGAGTGATTTGTAAAACATTTTCCGGAGTAAGTGATTGCATTACGTTTACATAAAGTAATAATTCCACCGTTAACGTTATTAATTATTTCGTGAGTAACTCGTGCTGCCACTTTTTATTTTACAACTACGGACAATATCTCTCAATTAGCCCTAGCTCTATCAAAACCGTGCGGTACACAGCAATACAGTTCAACATGAAACCCACAGATCTCTGTACAAGTCAACTTCTGTCAGCCCGAACACATGCCAATTCGTAATCAGAATATGTATTTTATGCTGGAGGAATCCGATGAGCTATAAAGCTCTTTTCCACAGATGTTTCAGTATGGGCGGGTTAAAACGTCACAGCAACAAACGATACAAAAACACAATGAGTGCAAAGTAGAGGAAAGGTAAACACAAACATGTATCTTACCAGGTAAAGCCCACTGAGGTATTAACTTGTTTTTTTTTTCAGAAAACGACCTCGCCAAAAATAATAACCCAATAATGTGGCTTATCATGTGTAAATTTACAGCAGCAAAATAATAATTTAAAAAATCTAAATGCATGTTTCAATTCCCGGTAACATTACAGATCGTGAATTTGGAAAACGTTGCAGATTCCACTCATGTGCAAGATGTGTCTTCATTGTCTAACACTGCGGCTAAGTTGTTAGCAGAGGGCAGGGTAGAAAAAAATGAATTGTTGTACTGTACTGTTACCCAACGTATATTCTCCCCGCCTTCACATACCCGAACAGACCAGCGTGGTGAAGTATGGTAACATAACCCCCACGACCTGCACGCCATAGGGAAGTCCTCATCCAACTGTGGCTTGACCAAAGGTCTGCCCTTGTAAATGCTTATGGTTTTACACTAAACATACATTGTGCCAACGTTGGCATGTAATGTAGCAGGAAAAACGTCTGACCAACATTAGCCCACTGTTCCACGTTTACAGGGTTATTGTGTTGTATTGCTTTAGTCGTGACTGATTGTGCTTTATTGGGTTGTACTGATTTAGTGCTGGCTGAGTGTGGTTTATGGTTTTGTTTTTCTTTGTAAGTCACACATTGTGCAATGCAATTAGCCGCAGTTAAGCTATTTTCAGAACAGGATAAAATGCTGCTGAATAGAATGCTCAATCTGAACGTTGTTTTTTTTTAAAGATGCCCATCCATTGGCGCTTAAATGCCCCCGGAATCTCACAGCGCCACACAATTCATCTCAATCACTCTCGCGGCCAGATGTAGTTCTCGTTTAAGCCGAGGGGACCCCCTGTTGATAGCTTTTCCTTTGTGGTACAAGGTAACGCAGCATCGGCCTGCAAGCGGGCAGTAGGCTACCAGTAGGTAGGTGATGTTGCTCTTGGCTATTCCAATTAAGTGCACCATTGTTTTAACTGGGCGCCACGGTGGTGAGATGTTAACTTCCTTGCTTGGTATGCAGGAGACCGTGGGTTCGATCCCGATCCTGGTGCCTGTATATTTGAGCTGGTATATCTCTCGTTCTGTGGTCGCGTGAATTTTCCTCCGGGTCCTCCGGTTTTTCGCTCCACATTTAGAAACGTGCTATTAGAGTATTTGGCTGATATAAATGTGCACATGATAAGCCACTTCGTTCAGCTATCATTTAGTGGCCAGGTCGCTCGTGAAAAAGTGCTACATAGCTCAGTGGGCCTTACCTAGTAAAATAAAACAATTGTTAACGGGTTTTAAAAAATATATATAATAGTTAAGCAATTTACGAGGTAATTTTTACAATCTTCTTTGGTTCTTTCGGTAAAGTCACGTAGAATGAGAATAAAATAATAAATTGATAAAATAAAATAACACAATAATATTCTCACCACGTTTCGGCCACAACACAAGCGGCCTTCATCAGGTGAAGGGACGAGACTGTCTCTCCAGCGCTGTCCTACCATCAATTTATTATTTTATTCTCATTCTACGTGACTTTACCGAAAGAACCAAAGAAGATGAATCATTGCAGTCACGAAAGCTTTAAATCGAAATTTTTACAATGTTTGCACATTTTGGACCTTGACGTCGGCACAAGTGGCCAACTGCTTTTTGCCAAAAACGTCACGGAATCTTTAACGTCCACTGTGAAACAGAGGGCGCGTGGTGTTTGTGGTTAGTACACCCGGCACTATTAACCAGGGCAACCGGGGGTCATGAACCGCAAATCGTCCCAACAAGCTTGCGACCGCGCGCAACCAGCCTAAATATAAATGTATTCCTTGTGAAATTCAGTTCATGGACAGCAGAGGGCAGACGTGTTGCACACCCCAAAGCGATTTCCGCAGTGTAATCTTCAGACGCGTATGAATCAGTGTGGAAGTCATTCTTATGGCTACTTATGTTAGATTGCAGAGTAACAACTCTAATGTCACATTTAGGTGATCAATCCAGACAACAGTGTCAGGAGCAGCGGAATATATCGTCGCTGTAATGTCTCCTTCGTATTTGTGGAATTGAGCATTGTGCCATACGTTGTATGATCTGTTTCTGGATGACCACAGTCACATACTACTAGAGAGTTTTTTTTATTTATTTTCCATTTATTGCATCAGGTATCCGCATCTGCTGCCATGGTTTGTCCAGTGGGTGCGATTTAGGGTGAACCATGAACTTCGTGGTTATGCGTTGGGTCTTCTGTATTTGTGTCTCAGTACTTGTTCCATTATAATTCTGCAGTAGAATATATCTGTGTTTGATCAGGTAAAATGTTCAGCCCAGCGACTGCTTGCTCACCCCACTGCTGGTGGAAAGGTCTCCACTCGAAGGAGTTCTAGAGAGAGACCTTCCAGATGATATTTGGCCTACTCTTCTCGGCTGGCCGCACGTCTTGGAAGAGGTGGTAATACCCCCAATTCACCCCACCACACGCGACCAGCCAATCGACTCAACGTGTTACCCATTTGTACGACTGGGTGAACAGGGTTGTCAGGGAGTTAAGAAGCCTGCACCATTGTTCCAACTGCTCTGCCGAGAGATTGAAACGGTGATCTGTGATCTGTGAATTGGAGGCTGAATGTGCGAACAAATTATACCACGGCAGCTTCCCAATGTACCTGGAGTCTTAATAGACCCAGTGTGAAATATTTGTAAAAGCAAGTTTTGTTAGCTAGGTAAAATTATAATGATTATATATTTTTTTAAAAATATTAAACGTATTGTATTACTGCCAAACGTGTTAAGACTTTAGAATGCAGTGTTATGTGATATTCATGTTGCTAATCGGTTGTTGGAACTTATAATGTTTGTTTTTTGGCAATGACACCAACACATAATGATCTCCTTATAGGGTTTTTACCATCAACTTTATGGCAGGCGTTGGTAATTACATGTAGGGGTATTAATTATATTGTATCTGGTATTGAACCACCAATTCTATGGTACGTGGATCGGTGCTAAGTTCTGCAATCTCTAGGCTATTGAATGTCATTCATACAAACTTGGCTCCTACCACAGAAATGTTAAATTTCCATTGTGAACATAAATGCACTTATTGATCAATTGCAATTGAATGTTGATGCTGAGGAAAGTTTCCCATCAGTACATCTTACCGGTTATAATCTATGCATCAGACATATGAACAGTGGAAAAGCAAATAAAGCAAAACCTGAAAAGAGAAAAAAATGCCTGGATAGGTTCATTGCCATAGTTAGAATGACAGACAGAAAGCCAAACGTATGGATCAGGGAACAAACGCAAATCAGAGGCATCGTATTATTGGTTCTTTCGGTAAAGTCACGTAGAAGGGAAACAATAAAATAATACAAATATAAAACAATAAAATTCTCACGACGTTTCGACTGCAACACAAGCAGTCATTATTCAGGTTTAATATTTTTATAATTTTATTGTTTATCCTTCTACGCTATTTTACCGAAAGAACCAAGAATATGAATCCCTACAGTCACGAAAGCTTTAAATCAAAATTCAGAGGCATCATGTTAACTGATGTGGTTTGTATCCAGTGTGTGGTCACGTGGTTTATATCCAGCGTGTGTTAGCATGGTCAATGCTTGACTCATAACCGGAAAAAGTTGTGAGTTAAATTCCCAGTAAGTCGGAGGGAATTTAAAGGGAAAGGAGGGGGGGGGGGTCACAGGCCACC